CACATAAAATAAAGGCCATCTAAAATTCAGTAATGCTCCTCTAAGTTCTTCTGATACAATTTGCAGCATCCTTCAAGAACACCAAAACATTATTCTCCAGCTGTAAGTTATAATTCATGTAAGCCTGGTCTGAAAAGAGACTCTGTGGAAAATGGTATTGTGGGGTTCCTCCTTTGTGTCTCAGTGGCTGAACTTGACATATGCAGAAATAAAACAGGAAGAACAATGTATGTGGTCAAACTAAGCCTGCAATTTTATTAATTCAATGAATTGACTGGCTTTACAGAGAACATTAAACCACCCTGATGGCCAAACAGCAGAGCTAATCCAATGCAGACTCCAACTAGGAGCCCTTCGGTCTCTATTTTTTCACATGAAAAGGATTAGTTTGCATGGTGAATGTCCTCTGTCACCTGTCCTCAGGTGGGAGCCGGGGCCTGCGTAAGGCTGGCACTCCACTTGCACCAGAGCGAAGCCTTGTCCATGTTGGTCTCCTCTTCCCAGCTAACCCCCATTCCAATCGCCAGAGGCCAAGCATGTGCTGTGCTACAAACGGAGTCTGCACCATTACCTATGACAGTCTCTTGCAGATGCATTGGTGTAACAACCAGCTGACAGATCCTGCTTTCTGTAGCTGGGACAACAACAGCAGCAACAACAGTACAATATTGACCAGGTTTGCTTTGTGGAAGAAAGAATGTCTTCCAAATCTGAAGGAATGGCTAGCCCAAGCCTGAGGAAGTCTGTCAGCTGTTAGGACAAAGCACAGGCATAGCATCCTAATAAACATTAGAAATGAAACCGCGTCTCTGGAGGGAGAGGGATCAGCAGCTAATCGGCGTCCTGTGGTTCTTCTGACACAGTCTGAAGCTCTGGAGGAGAGAAGAGGAAGCTCAAAGACCTTGTGCAGTGAAAATCTTCATCTTCAAACCCAAAGGAAGGATGGTAGAGAAGACCTAGCTATTACCCATCCAGTTATGTCTTCATTCTTGCTCTCTGAAGCTGTTTCATTGCTAAGTTCATAAAAGAGATTCAAACTAAGTCAGTAGTTGCTCTTTCTCCACTCCGATGTTTACTAGCTCTTCAAGCTGCGAATGATTTTTGGATGTCTTCATGTTCTTGACTCTCTTGCGTTCCTATCCACAGTCTCTCCTTGTACTAATATGATGCTTCCTTGTGCTCAACTGGGCCATAAACAACTAACTTCTATGTGTGTGGGAGAGAGCAGGAGATGTAGCTCCCCAGTGTACAGGTGACCATACTCACTTGCATCAGTAGCTTTTGTAGGTCAGTGCTTGCCACAGCACCAGCCAGTATCAGATTCATCTTTCTTGATGATGCAAAATTAGGAAATGGTACTGGCCTCTGGATGTTCATTTTTAACTCAGGTAGTTAACATGTAGTCATGTGTAAAGGTTAGCTATTTATCCACTTTTCTGTAAAGATGAATATGACGTTCTTGAAAGCCGGACAGCTGTAGGGCACATGCTCTTTGAATATGGTGGTGCAGTCTGATGGCTAAGGAAATCTAGGGGAGAGAGCACCTGGAAGAGTGGAAAATTCTCACAAGAGCAGAAAGCCATATATTCAGAGAATGATTTGGGCTACATGTTTTGATATAATGCACATGGTAATCTCTGGAGAAAAGAGGATATTGCTTAAGTCTTAACAGGGCTTTCCAAAGGCAAGCAGACATTCTGCTCTCCCTTTTCACAAGGAACTTATCTGCTTCCTTCCCTGCTTTGTGCTGAAATCCTGAGCTGTTGACACTCTTACTGACTTTTATGGATGCAGATTATATTTTTTAATCCAAAACCTTCTCCTTATCTCTTGAAATGAAACAACCTTCCCCCCCAAAAACAAAAAACCAAAAAACAAGGATCAGGCTCAGGATGCCAAACCCTGTTGCCATTTTGCTTTGATTTTTCTTTGCATTTACTCCACCTAGCTCCTTTTTTTTTTCTTTTGTTTGTTTTGACCCTGAATGCAGGTTGACAATCCAGAGTGCAATTATTTTGGATAATACATTAAACACGTATGTGCTCTTGAGTCCCTGAGGTGCTTCTGGTGTTGTATTGGAGCCCAATGCAGATCTATGTTACTCAGGAAACATTAGCAGGAGCAGTTAGATGAAAAGCCTGACAATAAATCCTTTGTAACAATCAAGACGGGACAGCATCATCTTGGCATTCTGCTGAAATTCTGGTTTAACTGCTGAGTTTTGAGAGTTATACAAAAGTAAACCTAAAGACAATTTTAGTATTTGGAAATAATAACACTGAAGAAAAGGTGCACATTTTATTACTTTGGCATCTACACAGATTTGAAAGCTGCTTTCCTATCCATCTGTCACAGAAACAGATTTTAGAAACAGTTTTCAGTGGACATAGAAAACAAAAACAGATATATTGAGTTATCTTCTTGTGAAAGGGCACTTCTTAAATCTTAGTTAGTCTAGTTTCACTGTATCCTATGAAGCAGGATAAAATGCCTCACAGTGCTTTCTACCTTTATTCAACATGCTAAGTAACTAATTCAGTCATGCTGGTAGAGTAAGGGTACTTTATTTTGGCTTTTCCTTATAGAAGCAAAGCCTGAGACTACACACTGCTGACTTTCCTGATAGGTACAGCAAGGCACTGATCACGCTAACATGTTTTCTTTTCTTCTCGAGTTTGAGGCAGTTTTTGTAGCATCTTTAGAAGGGCTTTAAAGCAGCAAGATTTAAAAAAGAAAACAACAAAAAGCTGTGTATTTTTTCTGCTGTGGATTTTTTTGGGGACCTTTTTAAAATTTTATTATGGCACCATGGGGGTTGGAAGCATTCACTTTCTTTAGGAGCTCATATTTTCATTATGTGTTCATGGCTTTAAGAGATGGGTCATTTAGAAGATCATCAGGTTAGGTAAAACTGTTCTGTCTCAGCAAATAATGTTTTGTGGAAAGGACGCGTGCTATTTCTTTAAAAATGTACCATGGGGAAGAGTAGGGAGAGTTCTTGGCAGAAACTTTTGAATAAAGCAGTGTGATAGAAGAGCTAGGGAATATATTGCATGCTAATAAAGTTCCTTCTTCAGTGTGAAAATTGAGTGCTTTGTGAGTGGCAACGGGTCTTTTTTTTTTTTTTATCTTTTGACATTCTAACTTGACCCATAATGAGGCATACAGCAGCACTTCTTTTCAGTCTTTTCCAAAGAATTGCCCAAACTAAAGAGATTTTTTTGGAGAATAATCTATGACCCAGCAAGGTTGGCTATAAGGTTTGTTTGTTTTTCTCTCTCCTGCTGGTTCCTACTATTCTGTTACTCCCACATCCTATCCGACTCTTGTTTTCAAATGCATTCTTCAGCCTTCTCCTTCCCTACCTACTGCATCCTGTGTTCTGTTTTCTGGCTTCCTTCTCTTGTCTTACAGCTTTTCATTCCAGTTCCTGTTCTCTCTGGTCCCTGAGGAATGAGGAGTGAAACATTAATAGTTACTGGAGAAATTAATAGGACTGCTGCTATTAGTGCAGCATTCAGGTGAGGGCTGTAGGAGACACTGTGTAGGATGTTCCCTGGAGCTGCTATTTGCTACACTGCTGGGGCAGAAATGTGTATCTCTGCTTCATCCATTATCACTTACAGTCCAGCATTTTAGATAGAATTACTGATAAAGGTCAGTTTTTGCTATGATTTGGATGTTAGAATTACCACAAGTTAGCTGACAGGTGGTAAGTTGCATGGTCACTTCATTGTGTGCCTCGGCTGCAAAGTGCAAATGTTTTAGACGTTCAGTGAGCAAAGGAAGTGGTTTTGAATCATTACACATAGCTTGCTTTGGGAGTTGCAGGTAGCTTGATGTTGGTTTGAAAAACATTTCATTTCACAGTACGCTCAGCATGCATACTTGAGTCTTCTAAATTATGTTGCTGCTTTTTTGGTAAAACTCTTAAATTAGTGGGAGATACATTCTTGTGCTCTGTACCTCTTTATTAGATGAGGATCGCCATCCCCATAAATCTGTGCATTCAGGTGCGTACATACATAAATCTGTATGTTCAGGTGCTTCATGTGCTGATGTCAATGTATTACACACATGAAGCAGAAATATAAAATGCTTAACAGTGTCCTTCACTGCTCCATTGAAAAGTTGTGCGGATATGCCTTGAAAATATCAGTCTAAATTATTTTCCTGTGGGTACGCCCAATTTGTCTATCATCAGTTGTCTGAAAATACAGCTTTACAGGATACAAATTAGAACTTTTTCCAGTTGAGGTTAGCTGTAGCCAAAGGTTTGATTAGTCTGACCCTTGTAGTGAATAAAATCTACTATTGTAAATGGAATAGGGAAATAAATAAACTTGGGAAAATAAACCTTTTAATATAATAGTCACTGTGCTGGCAAACTTCTCTTCTTGCTAGTTTCTCCCATCAGTGATGCCCAGATGGTTATCAGTCAAGTACAGAAGTACTGTTCTGCTCTCCAGCTGATTTATTTATGGTCAAGATTGATACATTTATGTATGGCTGCATATATAAATTAGTTTCATTTTTTAATTTTATTTTACACATTTTTTGGGTGTGTAACACGTTGGTGACTAATCCATCTCATTACATTCCACCTCATGTAAAATAAGTTCAATATAAATTAATTGATAAGTAGATATTTTTGTCCTTTTGGGATATAGTATACTTTCACCAACACTACCCTGAGAAGTAAATGTGAAGAAATTAAAAGCTGTTTTTTTTTTTGTTATCTATATACCTATAACATTTCACTGTTTTTTTTTTTATTCTAGGTGTTTTCTGTTTTTTTCAATTAGCTTCTGTAATTTAAAATATTTTGGCTAGGAAATATAATTGTAGTAGGTAGTTATCTGATGTAAGACTACTTAGGATATTAACCCCTCCCTCCCCTCTAAAAATCTTCCTAACATGAAAGTGATTTAAAACTGTGGAAATGAAGAGCAACTATATATATTTTCAAGTGTAATGCATTTGTTCTAACTTTTTTTCAGGTTGAAGAAACTTCTCGAGCAGGAGAAAATCTATCAAGCTCGCAAGGAGAAAGAACATACAAAACGACTCAATAAACTAAGAGAAGAACTAGTCAAGCTCAAATCATTTGCACTCATGCTGGTGGATGAAAGACAAATGCATATTGAACAACTTGGGCAACAAAGCCAGAAAATACAAGATCTAAATCAAAAACTAAAGGAAGAAGAAGAAAAGCTTAAAATTATTACTGCGAAAACAAAAGAAGATGGACAAAAACTGATGAAGTTAGAAACGGAACTTGAGCACAGGACATTATCATTTTCTCAAGAACATGAGGAGATGACGGCAAAACTGGCTAATCAAGAGTCGCATAATAGACAGCTAAGGCTTAAGCTAGTTGGGTTGACCCGTCGAATAGAGGAACTAGAAGAAACTAACAAAAATCTTCAAAAAGCAGAGGAAGAACTTCAGGAACTAAGAGATAAAATAGCAAAAGGGGAATGTGGGAACTCTAGCTTAATGGCGGAAGTGGAAAACCTCCGCAAGCGTGTGCTTGAGATGGAGGGAAAAGATGAAGAGATCACAAAAACTGAATCTCAGTGTAAAGAGTTGAAAAATAAACTGCAAAAGGAGGAGCACCATAGCAAAGAACTGAGGCTTGAAGTGGAAAAATTGCAGAAAAGAATGTCAGAATTAGAGAAACTGGAAGAGGCTTTTAGTAAAAGTAAGTCTGAGTGCAACCAGTTGCAATTAAACTTGGAGAAAGAAAAGAATTTAACTAAAGATTTGATAAATGAGTTGGAAGTGGTGAAGGCTCGAGTAAAAGACCTTGAGTCATCAGAAAGCGATTTGGAAAAGGCTGAAATAAGCTTAAAAGATGACCTTACAAAGCTGAAGTCATTTACTGTAATGTTGGTTGATGAGCGAAAAAATATGATGGAAAAAATAAAACAGGAGGAAAAAAAGGTTGAAGGTTTAAACAAGAATTTTAAAGTGGAACAAGCGAAAGTTATGGATGTTACTGAGAAACTGATAGAAGAAAGTAAGAAGTTCTTGAAAATGAAATCTGAAATGGAGGAGAAAGTGTCTAGCTTAACAAAGGAAAGAGATGAGTTAATCTGCAAACTGAAAAGTGAAGAAGAAAAATCCTCTGAACTAAGCTGTAGAGTTGACCTGTTAAAGAAAAGAATTGATGGTATGGAGGAAGTAGAAAGAGAAATAACAAGAGGTAGAGCCAGGAAAGGCCCGGAGCATGCTTGTCATGAGGACAATAAGATTAAGGAACTTACCATTGAAATTGAAAAACTGAAAAAACGTCTCAAGCAACTGGAAGTGGTTGAAGGAGATCTGATGAAGACAGAAGACGAGTATGATCAGCTAGAGCAGAAATTTAGAACTGAGCAGGACAAAGCTAACTTTCTTTCTCAACAGCTGGAGGAGATGAAACTCCAGATTGCCAAAAACAAAGCCATAGAAAAAGGTGAAGCAGTGAGCCAGGAGGCCGAGTTGAGGCACAGGTTTCGCCTGGAAGAGGCTAAAAGCAGAGATTTGAAAGCAGAAGTTCAAGCACTGAAGGAGAAAATCCATGAGCTGATGAACAAAGAAGACCAGCTTTCCCAGCTCCAAGTTGATTATTCAGTTCTTCAGCAAAGATTTATGGAGGAAGAAAATAAAAATAAAAGCATGGGGCAGGAAGTTCTGAACTTAACAAGAGAGTTGGAACTTTCTAAGCGTTACAGTCGTGCTCTGAGACCCAGCATAAATGGACGGAGAATGGTAGATGTTCCTGTGACATCCACTGGTGTGCAAACAGATGCTGTAAGCAGTGAAGCAGCAGAAGAAGAAACTCCTGCTGTATTTATAAGGAAATCCTTCCAGGAGGAGAACCACATCATGAGCAATCTGCGACAGGTAGGTCTGAAAAAACCCATGGAGCGTTCTTCAGTGCTTGAGAGATATCCTCCAGCAGCAAATGAACTTGCAATGAGGAAATCTTGGATACCGTGGATGAGAAAGAGGGAAACTGGGGCTCAGGGAACTCCTGACAAAGGAACCCGAAGCCATGGTAGTGCAGGGCATCCTGGGGAGGTTGTCCTGTCACCAAAGCAAGGCCAACCTCTTCATATTCGAGTGACACCGGATCATGAGAATAGCACAGCTACTTTGGAGATAACCAGTCCAACCTCAGAGGAATTCTTTTCAAGCACCACTGTCATTCCTACTTTGGGAAATCAGAAGCCACGAATAACCATCATTCCTTCTCCAAATGTTATGTCCCAAAAAGGAAAAGGCAGTGAAAGCCCAATGGGCCCAGATCGTTCTATGTCTCCAGTCACTATAACAACATTTTCCAGAGAAAAGTCTCCAGATGGAGGGAGAGCACCCTTTGTGGACAGACCTGCATCACCAATTCAGATTATGACAGTATCGACATCTGCAGCACCAGCAGAAATCTCTGTTTCTCCACAGTCACAAGATATGACCATGGGAAGGGCTGTCTTCAAAGTAACACCAGAAAAACAAACTGTTCCAACCCCAGTCCGGAAGTACAATGCCAACGCCAACATAATAACCACAGAGGACAACAAAATTCACATCCACCTAGGTTCTCAGTTTAAGCGCTCTCCTGGTGCTGCATCTGATGCATCTGGTGCAAGTCCCGTGATAACAGTCAGACCGGTGAACATCGCAGCAGAAAAAGAAGTTGTGACTGGTACTGTCCTGCGATCCCCCCGGAACAATCTTTCCCCGCGACCAGGAGCGAGCAAAGTGACAAGTACTATCACTATAACTCCTGTTACAACATCGTCCACACGAGGAACACAATCAGTGGTAAGCAGCAAAGTTTTATGTAGAGGTTCTGCGTAGTCTTCATGGTAAAGAGAAGGGAAAACATGATTTGGATTTGAGACCTAGTGGGAAAAGAGTGAGTGGGGTGGGGGGAAAACTCTTTCACTTGTTTAAAATAAGAGCTTGTAAATTTGTCAGAATCCCCTCTGGTGAAGAAAGATAATAGTGTACCAGTGTTGGACACTGGAGTACTTTTGGTATTATCTCCTGAAGGAGTAACCTTCAAAGGAAGTTCCTACAGAGCTACTGAAAATAATGGCAAACCTCTAACTTTCCAAGAAGGTGAAAGAGGAGCGAAAAATGAGGGAGCTAACAGGGCAGAAAACTGTATTCTTATTTTTAGTAAGTGGCAGTTCTGAATTACGAAAATATTCATAATGTTTTTAGCCTAGCTGGAGGATCTTGGTATTTATTTGCTATAATGCCATTATATGTGCTATATATGTATAATTTAATATCTTATGTAATATACATAATGCTTTGTCTGCTGAACTCCAGAGCAGTAAATTGCAGGGCACTGGTATTATTATTTAGAGCTCCAAGTCTCTTTCAGACAGTGAATATTAAAGCTCTTCCTGCATCTCTGTCGTTCTCAGCTTTTATAAATGCTGTGTTACAATAGTGGTTCCTCCACCATATTTCTTGGTGTTTTCCTAGTGTGTCTCTGTGGAGATTGCCCTGCTCCTTTTCCTTACAAACTCACCCTTAAGTCAGTCAGTATGCAACCACCTTAGATAATACAGGTAGTCGTCTCATCAGGTTTACTATGGACTTAGCCTTGGGGATTTTTTTGCATTGTTTTAGTTGGAATTTCTGTGGGGAAAGGTTTTTTAACAAAAATATGAAAACAGCAGTGCTGTATTAGTCCAAAGGCTTATTTATCTTCAGGGTAGCCTGCTTGACAGTAAATGGTTAGGAAAAGGTTATTTTAAGTCTGGGTAAGCATACAGTAGTATTCCTCTCAGTGTCCCTTCCCCACTTCTGGAGTTTCTTTCTGAACCAGGGCCTGTAGCGTCATCTTTGTGTTTATTAGACCGTGGTGGAGTTTTTTTCTATTTACTCTTGTAATTGCTCTTTGAACTCATGCCGTCGTTTCTGCAACATCACGGGGCAATGAATTTGGCTTTGGGCTATGGGAAAAAAATGCTTTCTTTTGTTTGGTACCTTTTATGCAATATCTTCATTGGTTACACCTTCATTCTTGTTTCCTGACTAATACAGAATAGTCATCCCCAGAATAGCATTTGCCCATACTTCTCAGGTGTTGCTAGACCTCTATAACATACCTCTCCAGCTATCTCTTTCCCAGCTAAAATTCCAAAGTGTATTAATAAGCATTTATATGGAAGTGTTTCCATATTTTGAGAGAGGCTGCCATTCTAATTTAAGTTTCCTGACCTAAAAAAAATGAATAAATAAAATAAACAAAAAACTTGCATTCAACATACTGATCTATTTGGGATTACGCATGTGCACGCCCTCTCTGAGTCTCTCCATATACAATGTGCTGAAGGTACTTTACTATAAAGTGTTTTTCTACACACAATAGGCAAGAAGAAAAAGTCTTGAATTCATTCATTTATGGACTCCTTTGTCTTGCAGAAGCTTGAAAAACTTTTTGTAAGAATTCCTTATCTTTTTTTACTGGATGTTTCTTCTGTGATGATGCACTGAACCATGACAGACAAGACTTTTTTGTGTTGTTGTTTTCATCTGGCTAGAAAGTGGCTTCTTTCTTCACTTCATCCTCTACTATTTGAAATATAAGAAAAATAGTTCAACTGTAAGATTTACTTTAACTTATGCACTTTTTTCTTTTTTTAAAATTTTATGGTTTTAAGGCTTCCAGTCAGAGGGGCTGAGAACTTTTAACAAACCTGAATGTGCTCCCTTCTCCCTAATCCCCTGAAAAAAAAAAAAGTTGTGAATTCACCTTCTCTTTTGCAAACGCCAGTTTTACGAACACATTTCAATGCCACTAGTCAGAAGAAAAAGTTATAATTATTTCTGTACAGAATAAACCAAAAAGGGGTATGACTTCATAAAATCAAAGAAGAAAATGGTACAAAGCTTTATTTGTAGCTGTCATCACATAAGCTGTACTCTACGATGTAGCAATGCGGTGCCAAACTACAAAGGGGAAAATAATTTAAAAATTTTTAACTCTCATCTCTTGCTGTAACAAATTTGCAGACATTGTTTTTATCCTTTGAAAACATTTAACTCCTTTTCCAATTTTAATTTGTAGAATTATCTTCAATACTGCAAGTGAATTCTAAGGCGCACACACGGCATTTTTAAAGGTTGTGCCTGATCTCTGGTGTCTCCCTGCATGAGTCCATAAACAGAAGACACTAATTTCATGGTGGACAAACTAGGAGAGTGGAGGAATAGTGACTGTTACTGTTTATTTTGTTGTTTTACACTGACATACGGAACAGAGCAGCTTATCTCCCTGACCCAAGTCTTTTTTGGAGTCTGTAATGGCTTTGATTTGAAGAACAGCTGAAAGTCTGCTGCGTGCCAGAGCTAACTAGGCACACATTGAAGCAGCTATAGAACTACTTTAATTTGAGTAATATTTAGTTGGCATCTAAATTTTTTTGACATCTACATTTAGCTATTTGTAGGTTATCCCATATATGCTCCAAGCTTCTGACATAGCGTATAGAGATCAGAAGCTCCATTTCTTTGTTTTCTAAATGCCATTTGCATGCCTTGTGGCTGTCAAGACATACATGAGAGACCAGTAGGTGTAGCACAGACCCGTGTCTTTCTGGAGGGCTGGTGAGATGCCACTGGCTCTGTCCTTCAGTGGGACCCAAGCTGTCCACTAGACTCCATGCAGTGGCTGTTAGTGACTCAGTTTCAAATCCCACCCTCTCAGGGCTCAGTTGTCTGAATGTGCAGCTCTGCAGTGTCATTTTGAGAGCTGTCAAGTAGCCCACTTCCATCTTCTTTAGCAGAGATCTCCTTAGATCCTGTGTCTTATCTACCAGCCCCGTGCTGGCAGCTTGAATAGCATGTCAGCTTGCTTCAGATGCCTGTGTGTAGGCCAACCATTTTTGCCCGAACTGGGCTCTGATCTGCTCAAGAACAAGTTGTGAAAAAACAATTTTGTTATTAAAAAAAAAATCCAAAGTGAATGTATGTATAAAATCACTGCTTTCACCTATTAATGAAACACACTAAACAGGATCTGTTGTAAACCACTAAATGTTCTGTACATTCAAATTGCTTTTCTTCTTTTAATGCAAGTGTCCAACCTTAATGCAACCTCCCTGCCTAATACACTTGTAACCAGCCGCAGTGAGCCCTGATTATCAGTGTGAACAATACAAGCAGTTGCATGTATTTATCTTGCTATCAAATGCAGTAATGTATTTACTAATCTAGCTCTGGCCATCTCTAATATTCCACTAGAATGTCCTGCCAGCGCAGAGCCTTGAGCTTCCCTCTGCATTCCGGGTGAGGCTGCTCTACGGGTGCTTTGTGCTGGCTGCATAAGGATTGACAATTCTTCTGTGTCAACCAGAGGAAAAGAAAGGAGCCAACAGACAGGCAGGGCAAAGGGAGTTGCTTGGAGTTACGTTTTTGCAAGAAATCACCAAGAGACATTTGTGTGGGTTCTCTGACACTCCTGTTAGTGAACTGTACCAGAGAGTGTCCATCGCCTGCTTATGCGAGGGGGCTGCTGCTGAAGAGCCACCTTTGTTCATTTTGTCTTTAGTAAATACAAAATGTTCTTGCAGCTCTACGTGAAGCAGGCATTAGCTTCCATATGATCAACGTATTAGTATGCCGTAATGAAACCCAACAACTTCAGGCAAGTTAGGCTTCTTTTCAAAGTGATTTTGAGAGATTTAGGCTTGAAATGAGTAACTCAAAAGCGCCCAAATCCCTAGTTAATAATTTACATGCAAATAAAGCTCAAGGAATGCTTGAGATTCCAGCTACTTCGTCTGATTGCCTCATGTTTACACACTGTGGAGCGCTTTCAGGGAGCACAAGATGTTTGTCATTTGGGTTCCACGGGATGTTGACATATTTTCCAAGGCTGATGGAATGCATTTGCATGTTTTGCCATAGCGAATTGTATTGCCCTAACTTGTTTTGACATCTACATGTGAGTTCCATATTAGCCTTTAGACTGCTATTGTAAATGTTGCCTTTAGTTATTGAAAATGGCTTCCTTCCTGCCAGGCAGAAGGCATTCAAGTTTTCCAATTGTGATTTTTGTGTGTGTGTGTGTGTGTATGTGTACACATAGGGGTTTGAGCTGGTCTTAGAAGATTAAGGAATGCTTTTCCTTTGAATGCTTAGGATGTAGAGAGAAGGCTCTGATGCTACTAGCTGGAAAATCCTTCTTCGAGAGAAATAGGAAATTCTTTGTGGAACATTTTTTAAAAGCATTTAAGTAAATGTGCAAATACACACTACAATCAACGCGATCCCTTAATCTAATTTATTTCAATAGTTTACTTTTATCTTGTTGGTATGTGATAAGCTACCAAATTTACTCATTTAGCGGACAAGTCTCACTGGGATTTGAGCATCCTGTAAAAGGTGTTCTCTTGTGAAATCAAAGACTTCACTAATTGGTGATTAGCTGAACAGAAAACACATTTTGTCACATCTGAAATTCAGCTGAGACACTCAGATTGTCATTTTAACATTTTTGCCTATAGTTAATACTGCAGAAGATGAAGCATGTTTTCCTGTCCCAGTTGTCACGGCTGTAAGTATTCTCTTTACGTCTGTAAAGGGGAACTTCCAGCTTTGTCTTTGAAGAGTATGTGCAACATTATTTGGCTAGTGTGGAGACAGAAAAGACCAACCAGCTTTTGAAACCTCTTTGTCTACCCAAGTTCTCCTTGCGTGCTTCAGGTCTGCAGGTCAGGGTGCCTGGCCTCCAGCTGACAGTCCAGAAGGACCCAGTTCCTGGGTAGGTGCTACGCTGCATCTGCCAGCCCTGTGCAGAGGTTGAAGGTGTTCAGCTGCATTCCTTCCAGGAGAATAAAATATTCAGGGTTGCCCCAGGATAGTTTTGTTTTTGTTTTGTTTTTTTGTTTGTTTGTTTGTTTTTTGTTTGTTTTCTGAAATCACCAAACATGAGGAAGAGCACACTAGGTAGGCAGTGAAAATGGCAACAGTTTGACAGAGTGAGCACTCATATCCACATTGCCTTGAGGTATCCCCGGGAAGTTGGGCTGTGTGTCTCCCCTGTGCCAGGGTTCATCGAGTGGGGCTTTGGCTCAAGGGGGTGACACCTCCACCCCAGCAGCACTGGTTTGTGCATCCCTTCCTCCCACAGCAAGAGGAAAAGGAACCCCAAGTCTTTCTCTTGTCTCTGTGTCCCAGCCCCTACTCTGTCCCTCTACACTGGCACTGCCTAGTGCAGAAATAAGCTACCCCAGCATGGCTCAAAACACTTGGGGAAGTATAGTTCAATTGAACTATAGAAATCTTGGAGCAGGTCTGGAACTATGGTGGCTAGTCTGGGCTCAGCATTAAATGCCTCGTGGCTCTTCTGTTTCCATGGCCCATGCTAACAGCTCTTTGTGAGGCTGGTGTTGCACATTGGGTGGCTCAGAGTCTTGGTAGCCTCTGATGCAGTTTTGGTAGTGCTGGACTGTTTTGTGCTGTGGAGTTTTGCAGGGGTCCTATGAGATAGCTAGATGCTGACTTTGTACCTTGGGTCCCACTTTTGCAGGGTTTGTTACTCCCAGCTTTGAGATGTGCCATTGATTTACTAATGAGAGTGAACTCATACAGTGTTGCTTGAGATGTAATAAAATGTATAAGGTGAAGATACATGAGAAGGAAAAAGTTTTCATGTTATGTCATTTTCTCTCTCTCTCTTGCAGACAGGACAGGATGGGTCATCCCCGAGACCTACACCCACCCGCATTCCCGTGTCAAAAGGTATGAAAGCAGGAAAGCCAGTAGTGGCAGCCCCAGGAGCAGGAAATGTGGCAAAATTCGAGCCTCGTGCCGAGACTCAGTCTATGAAAATAGAACTGAAGAAGTCTTCAGCCAGCAGCTCTGCCTCCCTGGGCGGGGGGAAGGGCTGATGGCGGTGGCGGAGGGGGTAGGTTGCGCAGGTTTTACTGCTGCCGTGGCAGGCAGACCCCGGTCTGTCTGCTTGCTAATGTCTCCATATACTAATGAAGCCCTCCGACTGATAACAAACTAATAAGTGTGTGCACTGACTACTTAATTTAACAACATCCCTTTTTTTTCTTCACTGGAGGGGAGAAAGCCATCAGCAGGGCAGTGGAGCCTCAGGGATACTTCCAGATGGGCGAGTGAGAATGGGCATCTGCACTAGTCCAGAATAACTGTTCGTTACAGGGCTGGTAACTTTTTAAGAAATTTGGGCTAGTTTGGTCACTACAATAGGCTGGAGATAGGGTGGTCACTTTTAATAGATTGTCTTCCACATTAGGGGATCACTTTCCACCTTGGCTACTGCATGGAACACAATCCTCCCTGTTTGTGAGCACTTCACACCTGGTTGTCTTGGGAAGCAATGCTAGCAAGGAATATGCTTGATGTTTTATTTTAATAAAATAATTATATTATTATATAATATACAATAACCTTAATAAAATAATAGCAGGAGAGGGGGGAAAAGAAAAAGAGCAGCATCACACGAGCCACCTTTTCTCCAGGAACCTCTCATCTAAATCAGCGTTTCTCTTGTGTGTGCTGCATTCTCAAGGGGGTTACAAAATTCAAGGAGGTAGGGAGGCTGGGAGGTTGCAAAACACTCGGCAGCAGCAATACTAGGCAGGAGATCATTTCTTTCAAAAGTCACTGCTTACAGCCGAGTCTCACTTCCCTGACCACACTACTGCCAAGACAGGAGTCACGTAAAGGCAGGTGAGCCAAAAGGTAATTATTCTTGAAAAAAAAAAAAGTATACGAAACATTGATCTAGTTAAAATCAATACAGTCCATTTGCGCCTACACCAAGGACCACTAAAGTCTATGCAGCAAGTCTTCATTAGCCTTTCTGTTTTCCTTGTAAGAGGAAATTGTGGTATATGACCCCTAAGTGCTAAGCATCCTTCTGTCATACGATGAATTCTTAGCACTGGCTGCTGGTGGCAGAAGTTGATGTCTAGGAACACAACTCACATGTAGACAGTGAAAAAGACAGGGCTTGGTACGCACGTTACCCTGAATTCACAGTGTTTGATGTGTTTCTCTTAAATGCAGACCACAGTACCATAGAGATTCTTTTTTTCCTTGTGATTTCCTTATTTACATGTTTGCATTTTTAAGCATGCTTTAAAGAATTGTTTCAGCATGGAAATGGGTGTGGGTGCAGATGACTGTTTATTTAATAACTCTACAGTTATTTCAGGGCATTAAGTGCTCAATTTCCAGTGAAGAAAATTTCAAACAAGAGAAAGTGAGCTGAGCAGATTGATAAATGTGGGTTTTAAAACTCGTGTAATACTTTACCTGTCACCAAAACTATAAAGCAGACAGTGTTTGGGAATAGGTTACAGAAGAAAAGACCGGAAGACAGTTGATGAATAACAAATACAGCTCACAGAAAAGAAAATGAACCACTGGGTGAAGTATTCAATGGCTTTCTCTTTAGGAGGAAAGATTTGATAGAAGATTCTACTACGGAAGATCAGCAAAATTATATTCAATGCAAGCAATATCTTCAGTCAGCCCTTTGCACTGCTCTCTAGTTTGAGACCCAGATATGTGCATTACCCCAGAGTAAAGCCAGCATTTAGGTCCATGAAGGCCCTGTGTGGAGGATATCATAGGATCACATCTGAAAAGAAGTAGGCTTTAAGTTTTACATGTGTGTAGCACTTGCAATACCTGTTAAAATTCTGGTTTCTATGGCATCTGAAAATCAGGTTTGTATTTGTACCGTTTCTCATAACATTCTCTTCCTGGTATTTTAGATACAACTTGGAATTAAAAAGCAAAGTAAGTTACAATGCCAGAAATACATCAAATTCTCTCAACTAATTTTTATCACTTAAAAGCCTCAATTTGTCAATAAATTGTTGCTGAGTTCTTACTGTTCCTACTGTAATATAGACTTTTTAGCAGATGCTTGAAGAAAACACATTATTATGAGCTTTTAGCTGCATATTCACTCCAAATACTGGCACTGAAGCAAACCTTCGGTTCAAAACAGTCATTTAAATAATACTGCAAACATGAGCCCCAAGCTAATGTGGCTGATACAGTGATGGACTACAGCTGGCTTAAGCTTTCCTTCTCATTTTTTTTTTTTTTAAGAAACTAGCTTTTCCTTAGTTAACTGTTGCTGTACCCAGGGCAATACTCTAAGTGTGTCTGTAATTGAGAAGTTTGTTTGTTTTGGATGAGATCTTAGAAACTAATTCACCTGAAGAAACAATTGAGCTTTACAGGACCTGAAATCCAGGGCACATAAATTTGAGCAAAAGAACCAGAACTGAAGGCACAAGCTAGGAATTGCTCTTGTAGGATCAGTAGGACTTCATGAGACACACTTGAGAAATTCCAGACAGGTCAGATGAAAGGTCCTGTTATTTTTCCCAGAGGTAGCACAACAGTAAGGAACTTTTGCTTCCCAAGCCAGCCCAACAGAAAGTTCAAAGTTTGAAGTGAGGCAACCGGTTCAACTGATAACTAAAAATATGTATTTAGTTGCATTCATTAATTTTTAATGCCTGTTTTAATTGACCTGAGATACTTGTTTATGAAATGCATAAGAAGAAGGTTAAGGCAATGATATTGGGAAAAAAAAAAAAGGCAAAAAGCCTGTAGTTTAGAAGTCTTATGAGTTGAAGCATAATTTTTTTAATTGTGTTGGAGTTTCTTCTGAATCTGAAGACAGATGTTATGTTTAGTGACTATAATAATGTTCTCCATTTAACATCATCTCCGCGTGGCAATCGAGACAACTGATTTTAAGTACAGTCTGTAAAGCTCCAGCTCAAGTACCAGCCTGCATGGAAGTGCTCCTGTATTTGTGTAGCAGTGTTTCAATATTGACTTATCTAGCACTGCAGCCTCTAAACCGGGGATCCATAATCTAGAATCCTTTTATTTCCTCTCAGAGCTTTAATACAAGGCACGATTTCATTGTCATTTGAAGTGAGCATATAGTCCTCCATGGGAATTGAATGATACAGTCCTGTTTTTTTCATTGCCTCCAGTCAGTGAAGCTCTCACTTCCTTGTGGTGGTCCCTTGAGATGGAACAATTATTGAAACTTAAAAGGGGAACTGATCTGAACTAAAAGGAATCTGGCACAAGGCATGAAGGCCAGTTTCAACCTAGCTGAGTTCCACTGCAGTATTGAGACTCTTGGGCCAGAAGAGTCAAGCATAGGGAACCAGTGGCTGTTCTGAAGTGATTGTGGAACCATGAATGCCTCCTAGGAGATCAAGTACCACACAAACATAACAGTAGTGCTGCTCATATTTTAAAAAAAAGTTTTTATTGAAGTCTTCCTTCAAAGGTTGGAGACTAGTCCCCCTTCTTACCAATATCTGAGGAGATTCAAACCCACATTAACTCCAACCCAGCCTGCCAGTAGCGTGGAGAGACAGTTCATGGGAAAGAAGGTGCCATCTCCCTCTCTCTCCTATCACATGCAGTGCTTCACTATTTACTGAGCAGAAATAAAGACTAGCTGAGTGGTCAAGGTACTGAACTAGTAGAAGGGAACCCCAGATTTTGGTCCTCATTCCAAAGGCTGCTTTTGAGCCTGGCTTTCTGTGAAAAGAAGGCTTGTGAGACAGCACAGTCTGTGTTCAGCCATCCCTCTGCTGGTGAATAACATCAAACCCCTCAACCAAATTCAGCCAAATCTGACAAAGCAATAGCAGCCTCAAGAATAAGAAGTTCCTCCCATTTAATGAAGAAAGCAACTGAGAAGAGGAGAAAGACCTTAACAATGCCAGCACTGCAGGAAAGAATGTGGCATGAGCTCACCCTTATACGACATCAAAGAACCAAGACAAGAGAGTGATGTCAGAAATGCCCCAGGGACAAGCTTTGTTCAGACCTCAGATTTTATTAGGCAGCAAAGAATCAAACTGTGAGGCACAAATCCATGCGAAAACATTAGTGCCTCTATTTACAGGGCTGCTTTTTGTGCATTTTTCGTGACTGGATTGGAATGTGGAAATGAGGCCTTCCTCACCTGGTCTGAGGTGACCAGGTGATCACCTAGAATTACTAATCATGTTTTCCCTCTTCTTTTCTATCTGTATTTTTTTAATGAAGTTTCAATAGCAAAATGGATTCAAACCAGGGTAATCATGATGGTTACAGTAGTCTTTTGGAAGTGAGGAGATAGGGACTTGAATTACTTTAGGCAGATGAACCTAGAATCCTCATATTTTGGGTGAGTCCTCTTACTATGGCACATTTGTATAAGCGAAAATATTTACCTCTTTCTCAGCCCTTTAATATCTTTCAGTCCTTTTAAAATCTCGAGAAAGGGACTGATCAGCGAACTTCATGAGAAGACTGCAGTCACAGCACAGGAAGGAGTCTCTGGCAATGACACTTAAAATAGACACCTAAGCTTCAGAGAAGGGCAGGATTCAGAGTTTATGACTTTGTCCTCATTATTAGTCTCTTGCTTGTATTTAGGTAGATTCCTGTTCATCACGTCATTTTCTTGATTCACTCTCCTTGTGGCTGACAGAAGATAATAAGGTATCAAGTAAACAATTCTGAATTCCAGTACAGAGTGGCTGCGGAGACTGTAGTGCCACCAGCATTTTAAGGTAGCATAAAAGCTGCGTTTTGCTGCTCCTATCCCGTATCATAATCACAAAGTGACAAAGACCTAGTTTGGGTATGCCCACGAGTGCCTCAGAAGTTCTGTTCTGTTCGGTTTCCAAGAGTGTGATGGTGAGCCATTTCATGTCTCAGTAACATGCACGGTTACAGCGTGTGTGCACGGTTACAACTGAGTCACAAGGCTCAGTCTTTGAGTCTCTTGTTGTCTATGTTGTCCCAATTGTAGAATTAGAGAACAATTTGGGTTGAAAGAGAACTCTGGAGACCATCTGTTTAAGCTCCCCGTTCAAAAAGGCTCATGTCAAAGTCCAGTGAAGTTGTTCAGGGCCTTGTCCAGTTGACTTTTTATCTCCAAGGATGGAGATTGCAAAGGCTTTCTGGACAAGTTGTGCCAGTGTCTGACCATCCTCACTACAATGGGCTTTTTAGAGCATCTAATCTGTATTTCCCTTTATGCAGTTTGTGTCCTTTTGACTCTGAAGTAGCTCTGTGGCAACTTTCGCCTAACATATATTCTTTCTGGCACCAGAAAGAGGGTGGCAGTACTGCTACCTCCTGATTTTGCTCCTTCCCTGGTGCCACTGCTAGTGGAGCTGTAACTTCAGCTTGTTCAGGACTGGCTGAGGGCTCATTTTGGCCTTTTTGGTAGGGCTCAACGTCAGCTAGAGACACCCCTTGTTCTGGCTGACTGTGAAGCTGTGCAAGCAGGAGTGAGAGCAAACTCAGCGGCCGAGTGTACAGCTTGGGGCAGCAGTAAGGCAGAGAGGGGTCAAGAGCATGAGCCAATACAGATCATATACTGATGAGAAGATGCGCTCTGAATTTTCCAGTTGCACTGTGTGATTTTAAATCTAGTTCCTAATAAAGTTTAGTGCTCTTTAATTGGATCCTGCCATCTGAATTATTGTTACATTTATTCATACATATAATGATTCCTAATGTAATCATTAGCAGTGCAATTTATTTGAGTAAGTGTGACTGAAAATGAGGGAGCACAGAACTCTATTTATAGCCCCTGGGTGATTCCTCTCAGGTCTTAAAACATGCTAAGTAAACAATGGCTCGAACAAACATGGACACGTTGACTTATTTTGCCCACTTTTCCTTTTGCGACTTCCGTTTGTGTGATTTTTCAAAAAACCAGGCCGCTGTACCTCCTCTGAACAGAGTATGCATGTTACCTACGCTGTTTAAACCTCAAACTGCTTATACCACATAGTAATTAGTATCATGTGAGTAATCTCTCAAGTCCCATTAATCTGTTGAGTCATGCCAGTTAGATGCCAAATGATATGTTACTGCCCGAAATATGTTGTATGTGTTCTCAAACATGCACAGTATTTACATTAATATTCAGTGGTTCTGATCATTCGAAGAATGTGTCTTTAGAGAGGGCAGGCTACGGTCCTGCTGTGTTTTGGGGCTCTTTGGCATAAGCTGCACCAGTAAGGACAATTTTCAGACCAATTATATGTTCCTATCACACATCAGTGGCTGATCTCATTGAGTCAGTTTGAAACCTGTAGCTTGCTGGCAGGAGTCCCTATGAGCTCATCTTTCCAACTTGTTTTCATTTA